AGTATAATATTTGGGAACAAAATTCTTTTTTTTTTTTTTTAAGAATTTTTGAAACAACTTTTATTTATTTTTGAGAGAGGGAGAGGGAGAGGGAGGGTGCAAGGGAGCAGGGGAGGGGCAGTCGCAGAATCGGAAGCAGGCTCCAGGCTCCGAGCTGTCGCGGGGCTCGAACTCACATGCCGTGAGATCCTGACCTGGGCCGAAGTCGGACGCTTAACCGCCGGAGCCACCCAGGCGCCCCTCGAGAACAAAATTCTAAAGTCAATCCGTCTGTGTTCAAAGCCAAGCTTTTCCTCTTATTGTCCTTACGATATCGTCCAGGATCTTTAACCTCTCTGAGCCTCAGCTTATGCAGCTGTAATATGGGAATAAAAATAGCTAAAATGAATGGAATAAAAAACATATGCTAGGTACTACTCTAAGTGCAGTATGCGTCCTATTTCTTTTCATATTCGCTACAACTCCATGCGGGAAGTGCTGTTGCTACTTGAGCTGAGGCACAGAGAGGTTAAGTAAGTCGCCTATGGTCACACAGGTTATGTGGAATCAGGATTCAAGCCCAGACCTCATAGGCACTAGCCATACGGCCTCATTCACGATTTAGTGCCTAGTTCATATAGTCGTGAAAATTCTTCGAGACGATAAGCAGAAAAAGGTTTTGACAACTAGGGAGCTCTTAATTTATTTACCTGATTATTTATGTTACCTAGCTCTTTCTTCCTTCTTCTTCTTACCTAATTATTTATGTATGCCCCCAAATACCTCTTCTGTCAGCTGGTCACAATGCCCCAGATGGACACAATTACAATCATTGTTTTGGGTTCGGGCAACATGTTTCAAAGACTGTTCTGTCTAAGTCTCTTCTCCAAGGTTATTTCTCAAACAGGAGGCTCTATGATCAAATCAGTGTGGGAATGTGGAATATCCTGTCTTAGAGATTCATGCGTATATGAATCTTGTCAAAGGACCTGATAAGTCCTGCAACAAAGAAAACCATTTAACTTTGTTTCAGCCTGCACTTCTCAAATTTATTCGCTTTGAGAGCCCCTCCTTAATGTAGCAGGTATTAACACTCCAAGGAGTTAGTATAAAGCTATTACACTAGCTTTATACACTTTATTACACAGTGGGTAATGTTATACTGTTGTGGACGTTCTAGTTGACAGCTGTGTGTGTGAAAGCTTTGCCAGCAAAACCCATCTGAGGCTGGGCCTTAGGAATTCGGATCAGAGACTGATGCTTTGTAAATGTTCCCTTTTTACTTCTCAAGGATTTGGGGAGTGGGAGAGGTAGGGGGCTATATGAACTCTACTGGCTTTACCAGAAATTCGTGCTGATTTTTTTTTTTTTTTATTGACTTTAACACAAAGGGCTATTTATAGCTCCGTTGCAATCTCATTGCTTTCTGTTTACTTTATCTTCAGCCCCAAGAAACAACATTGCCCTCAAAATGGAGATTTTAATGGTTGTTGACCAGGAGAGGAGACAGGAAGCCAGTTCACATTCCTTTCTAACTTCATCTTTTATTTGAAAATGTAATATAACTTCGCAACATGGCCCCGAATAAATGACCCCCCCCCACACCGCAAAATCTTGATTGTTACATCAACCAGGAGTCAGCTAATTAGAATTCTCGATTAACCAGAAACATGCTCCTTCGCTCTTCATTGGAGAGAAAAAAAAAAAAAAAGATAAGTGACAAGTTAATAAGCTGATAACAGTAACTTGAAGACAAACGGGAAATTTTTTCCCAGAAGAATGATGAAAATATTCTTTTCAAAGAATAAAGAGATCGCAAAAATCAATTAAAAAAATCAAGAGGCAATGGAAAATACGGACAGAGGCTAGGAATAGATGGGGTATCGAGGATGCAAATGGTTAAGAAGCATAAAAGGTGATTTTGATAGTCACAAAATGTAAACTAAAATTGATAAAATCCAATTTTTCACTTGGCAAATGAGTAAAGATTAAAAGACCCTCCATGCTTGTTAACGTACCAAACATAAACATATGAGGGGCGCCGGGGTGGCTCAGTCGGTTGAGCGTCTGACTTCGGCTCAGGTCATGATCTCGCAGTTCGTGAGTTCGAGCCCCGCGTCGGGCTCTGTGCTGACAGCTCGGAGCCCCGGAGCCTGGTTCGGATTCTGTGTCTCCCTCTCTCTGTGTCCCTCCTTGCTCATGCTCTGTCTCTCTCTGTCTCTCCAAAAATAAATAAATATTAAAAAATACATGTTCATGTCCATTGGCCTGGTAATGCCACTTCTGAGAATTTTTCCTAAAAAAAAAAAAAAAAAAGAAGAAGCATATATAGATTCATGTACAGAGATGTTCGTTGCAATGCTATTTTGTAATATGGAATGAAGAAAAGTTTCACCTAATTGCAGAGAAAGATCTGGGAATATCATAGTTACTCATAGTGGAATATTATGATGGGTATAAATGGTATTTTCAAAGCGCTATTCATGACAAGGGAAAGTCCTCGTGTAATTAATAAGAAGACCCATTACAAGAAGTAAAACTGCATTTATACGATTAACTCACATATATGAATATAAAAGCGGGACAGAGGCAGAAAGAAAGGGAGAAAGAAAAATGAAGCAAATGGAACCCAAAACGCTAACCGTGGCTGCTTCTAGATTGTAAAATTAGAAGAAGGTATTTTGTTTTGCGGTTTTTACCTTTCGGCACTTTCCAGCCTTTCCACAATGACCGTGAGGGGTTTTGGAAATCAGAGAAATGCCATAAAAACAACAGAAGTTAGGAGCAAAAAAAAAAAAAAAAAAAAAAATCGAAAAGACATTTTCTGATCGCCGCGGATTCACATCAGCTCTCTCACACGCCCGCCCCTGTGCCGTGAAAACTGATGTTTATTCCGAATGGCAACCCAGAAGCCCTGTGAGATCCTCAGTCACTGAGAAAATATTCGCTGAATTTACCACACTGAACTTCCTGAGGCAGGAACGTGAAACACCACATCTTGGAAAGATTTTCAGCAATAAGATTTGAAACCCAAAGACTTCTCGTCTAGCCCTCCTTTAGCCAAAATATCGTGTTAACCGAAAATGAAACATTAACAGAGAACTTCTGATCAGGTGGTATTCTGCTGTATCCACGGTTGTTTAATTATCTGTTGCTCTGGCTGACTCGTATTTCTGCCTTTTTTTTTTTTTTTTCCAGAACATAGAAAACTAGAACTTGGCTGTGTAACTCAGTTCTGGAATACTCCGCCCATTCTCTCCCATAACGGGGGTTACTTTGCGTTCACCAAATCCCAAATTTTGTGTCTCCTGGGCACACGGTTAGACTACATTTTCCGGTCTTCTGGGCAGTTGGGTGCAACTGTATGATGAGTGCTGGCCACAGAAAGGTGATCAGAGATGATGACACCAGTTCCCCAGCCCCAGCTCGTACGTATCCCCTCCCGTGGGCTATCGGCTCTGCTCACTCTTAGCTCCCTGGATCTGCTGAAGACATGCAGAGAATCTAGAGGAGAACTATACAGCCCAAGGGATGGGCTCTAGAGTTCACTAGACTCAAGGAGCCTGAACCCCTGAATGACTGTCTGGAGGAGAGTGCATGCATAAGTGGGCATGCACATGCCAACTCGCACACACACACACAGAGCAAGTCTGTGGGGGACCATGTCGTGAATAAGAAATAAACAATTACTGTACGACATTCCCGAGCTCTGGGGACTTGTTTGTTAACAGCAGCTCGCTTGTTCCCACAAATATATCACCTTACGACAAAGCCACTCAGCGCATTACTCTGGGCAGGAAGATGGCAGGGGGGCATCGGAGATGAAAAACGATTCGGTGACATGAGACTTGGGTTGAGATCTTCCCAGCTCTAGGGCATTAAGAAAGTTAATTCTATCTCCCGGAAGCTCAGTTACCTTTTCTGAAAACTGAGTATAAAAACAGTGCCCAGGGCGCCTGGGTAGCTCAGTCGGTTGAGGGTCCGACTTCAGCTCAGGTCATGATCTCACAATTCGCGGGTTCGGGCCCCACGTCGGGCTCTGGGCTGATGGCTCGGAGCCTGGAGCCTGCTTCGGATTCCCTGTCTCCCTCTCTCTGCCCCTTGCCTGCTCGTGCTCTGTCTCTCTCTGTCTCTCAAAAATAAATAAATGTTGAAAAAAATTGATAAAAATACCAGTGCCCCTGAAGTTTAAATTAATGATCGTAATTAAGTGTCCAGTGCAGTTCCTGACAAAGGTGCACAATCAACAAATGAGGGCTTCTCTTTCTCACGTGGACAACATCCATCATAGCGACTGGTTTTCTCAAAGCAAAACCGAGTTTCGCAGTCCGGAAGCAAACAGCTGGGTCCCCGGGGTCAACGTTCCGGACACTATTCCTTTATGTTGGGCTGTCCACGGTTCCCCGGTTCTTAGAACAGTGCTCATCTTTCCATTCACACATCTTGGACCAAAAATGTGTCTGATAAACAAGTGTCACCTGGGATTAAAAAGGTGCGTGGAAGAGCCTTCACTGATGCACACACATGCACACGCACACACACACATCAAGCATCTCCAGGCATTGCTGCAATTATAACAGGGCAAAGAGCTCTTAGCCCGGTGGGTGAGATCTAGAAATAAGACAAAAAATAGTGAGATTAAGGGCTATATTCATTTATTTAGTCATTCAACGAATGCCGAGCATGGAAATGTGCCAGGCACTCTTCTAGGTGCCAAGTGAACAAAACGGGGTGGGGGGGGGCAGAATACCTACCGTTGTGAGGTTCACATTCCAGATAATGTACACACAATTTGTCAAATAAAGAAGTGACGCGTATTTCATGTTAGATGGTGATCCGATCTACAGGGCTCTGCAGAGCTAGTGATGAAGTACAGAGTGCCAGCGTGGCATTTTAGGGACGTCAGGGCAGCCCTCGCTGAGCGGAAGACACGTCAGCAGAGGCCGGAAGTGGAGCGAGGAGGGCGCCATATTGTTCTCCAAGGCGAGAGTGCTCCAAGGCAAAGGCGCGCCACAGCGGAAGCGTGCTCGGTGGGCTCGAAGGACAGCGAGGAGGCGGCGTGGACTGGCGCAGAGCAAGCGCTCCAGTCTCGGTTATTCAGTCTTGCCTCTCATGCTGCGCTTGGTGTTGGCCCTAGGGCTTGGGCTACCGTTCTCCAGCAACAGTGTGAGAGCTTCCGGCAAGGGGACAGGGGTGTGGAAAGGCAGGAGATGGAAAAGTGTGATAACAGTGGGTATAAAATAGGCAAAAGACACGCATTCTCATGTTTGCTCCCAAGATGACATGTGCTATCACTCCTTCCTTATCCAGAGATAAGGAGATTGCAGCCCCGGAGGTCAGCGGCGGGGAGAGATCGAAACTCCTGCGATATAAACAGTGGCTCCTGGGACGTGGCGGAATAAAACAGGAGCGAGGCCGAGGCAGATGAACAATGAGGAGATACAGGGCAGGGGCCGGGTCCCAACAGCAGCCCCCAGAGGGCATTCCCGCCTTGGCCACCACCCCTTAACCAGTGACACGCGTCCTTGCCAGAGCCAGCCTTAGCCCTTAGCTTCTCGTGTATTCGTGGTCCTAAGGAGACCACGCCACTCTACTTGCCTCTCTGCCCCTTCTTTAGCACGAATGATAACACCTTGCTTTGTTTCGCTGTACGTCACGGAGTCTTTTTATTCTTCTTTGATGGGCGAGTAGTATTCCGTTGTCTGTGCGACCCACAATTTATTCGACCAGTCTCTGTGGCCGGCTGTGTGGGTTTTCGCCAATGCTCTGCGACGACAAACTGGGCGCTGCTGAGTAACCCTGTGGCTGTGGCATGGTGTCCGTGTTTCACCACGTCTGTGGGGTGGATTCCTGGAAGTGGGACTTTCCATCGAAGGTTGTGTGCGCTTGGTAATTGGGATAGGTGCTGTCAAACTGCCTTCTGTTGAAGTTGCTCTGAATTACTCTACGATCAGCAAACGTGCAAGGGAGCCTCTTTTCTCCACACACCCTTACCAACACCGTTTGTTTTCAAACATTTTCATCCCTACCAATCTAATAGGAGAAAGTGGAATTTAATTTGATGGATCTGGTTGGCAGGGAGGTTGTCGCCTTGGGGAAGATCGGGTCCCTCCAGATCCACATTGTGCCCGTCTCCTCCCTGCTCTGGATTTGGGAGGCTGACCTCTATGAATGATTGCATCCCTTGGGCTCCCTCACCTCTGGCTTCTAGTTGAGCTTGGTCCTTGGGAGGGATAAGGAGGCAAGCAGAAGGAGGAAGGGAAGAGAGATGCCCTTTCTGGCTTTGGCCTCACTGAGTCCTGTCACCCCTGGGGCCAAGGGATGTAGCCCTCAGCATCTCAGTGGAGACCCTCTCCTCGGTCACAATACTCGCTAGGCTCTGGAACATCGTTCTCTGGCCTTGCCCTTTTAGGCCTAGGAGAGTTAGCCCCTTCCTGCTGGTACCTCCACATCCCTTGTGGCCCCCTATACGCTGCTCACAGACCCTTTGAATGTGCCATTTTTTCCAGCCCGTACCGATGGGTGCAAAAAAATACATTTTTTTAAATTTAACATGCCAACCTTTTAGGGAGTTTGGTGTTGGGAATCAACTGATAAGTACGCCTCAAAGAAGAAAAGAAAAACAAAAGGAAAGGACCCTGAAGAACCTTCGGGTTATTTTTTCTGGAACCAAAGGCCAAGGTCCATTCCCACCTCCCCCCCCCCCCCATCTTTTCCTATAAAACGAGTGTCTCTGGCCACCACCAGATATCACCGTCATTCATCAGGAACATCTACCTTACCCTGGAGCCCACCCCACTTTGAAGCTATGTGACATCACGTCAACCACTGCCGTCTTCAACCAAAACCTCCGACGACTGTTGACTTCTCTCAACATAAAGTTTAAACTCGAACGGACAGAGTTACTTGTGGGTTCATTCCAGAGCTGCTCATGTAGTGGGATCGGAGGAAAGAAAGATAAGTGAGATGTTTTTTCTCTTCCTTTGAGGTGTGTATGGTCTGAGGGTATGGCGGCAACAATAAACTGATAGCTGACGTTGGCCATTAGTGGATTAAAAGTCTCCTGGATCTACGCAAGATAAAGATAGTGACCCTGAATTAGAGAATCCCACAAAGGGACCCCAAAAAAGTCAAAGATACAATAGCACAGGATCTCCTTGAAACGAAGAAAGAACAGAATCCAGTCCGCACGGGTACATTTGGAAATGCTGAGTGCCAGGAAATACTGATGGAGAATGGGTGATACTGAGACAGTCCCTAGTCAAGTCCTTAGACTCCATGGAGAAAGACATATTTCTTCAGGCACACAGGAACCACGTCAAGGCATTGGTAGTTGGGAAGTCGCCCCAATGAGAAACATTCATGGCCAAAAAGGACTGGGGAGTGTCTGCAGAGTTTCAAGGACAAAAATGTGTGACCCGAGGAAATTATACACAATTAAGTTGTCACACATGTATAAGAGCAATCGGGAAAACTTTTCAAACATGAAACATATCATGAAATACAGCACCCCTAGCTCTCTTTGAAAAAAAAAAATTTTAAATAAAACATTTCAGTGATGAAATGTAGCCCACCAAGAAGCAAATGGTAACAAATTAGGATGACATTCAGTGCCAAAAGGCACTCGAGCAATGCCTGAAAAGTTCTGAGAGAAAGGATGAATTTTATACCCAGCCAAGTGGTATTTCCATTATAAAGCCAACAGTCAACCTCAAAGATGTGTGAACTCAGGGCAGACAACTCAATGAACCTGTCTCTTTCTATTTATTTATTTATTTATTTATTTATTTATTTATTTATTTATATTTTGAGACAGACAGAGACAGTGTGAGCGGGGAAGGGGCAGAGAGAGAGAGAGAGAGAGAGAACCCCAAGCAGGCTCTACCTACACTGTCAGCACAGAGCCCAACACAGGGCTTGACTCCCGAACCGTGAGATCATGACCTGAGCCAAAATCAAGAGTTGGGCACTTCACTGACTGAGTCACCCAGGCACCCTTTGTCTTTTTCTTTTTGAAGTTTATTTTTTTACTTAGGTCATCTCTACACCCAATGTGGGGCTCAAACTCACAACCCCAAGATTGAGATTCGCCTGCTCTTCTCACTGAGCCGGCCAGGCAGAGCCCTAAAGAACCTGTCTTGATAAAAACAGTAGTATGTTTGGTAAAATTTGGCACGTACGTCCTTCTACCCTTATAGCTTATATAACTCCGTTATAATCCCCCTGGAACCCGATTCTCATATAACGTTTTAGATCTTACAGGCCCCTTGTTCCAGGAACACTCTCGTTGCCCAGAACAAAGGTTCTGAAATCTCTCTCTCTCCCCACGTGGGAGATCTTCTTTCTCGGGCCCCTCCATGGGTACCAACAGTCCTAATGAGCTGCTCCTGCACGCAGAGCTGGTGTCTCAGTGCCCCTCTGAGGCGTTAACAAGAAGGCAACACGAAGCTGGAGAACCCAGCTTCTGTCTTCAGACTCAGGCAAGGATGGACGGCGATCCCAGACACCTCTCACAGCACCTCTGTGACGAGGTACCTCTCACTTGCAAAATCGCTGCGTCTCTAACCCCACACGCTGCCACCGCTGCAGGACCTATGTGCGTCCCGGGTTTTCTCTGTGACATCGCAAGGAGGTTTCCTGCTTCGTCCAACTTTTTGGTTCTTCCCGTGCCAAGGCCAGTGCCTGAGGGCCGGTGCACGGGCTTGAGCACCTCGGCGCCACATCCTACGAGGGGGGACTCCCACAGGAAGCACTGAGCCCAACGTGCGTGCATTTTAAGAATGAACCGCCTTCCTCCCTCCCTCCCCGGGGGGATAAACCATGTCCGAGTTGCGGTGTTGGGAAACTTTGTCGGAAAGTTCTGCCTGTCCTTGGCCAGCTCGGGAGAGAGGGCCGGGTGGAAGGCTTGGGTGCGTATCCCTCATTTGTTTATTTGAGACTTAAGCTCAAAAAGCCAGATCCAATCTTCGGAAGCTTATCTTTACGGTTTCCATTTTATTGAATCTCATTTTGCTAATTCCTCGTGATTCCACACTCGCCATTAGCCATAATGGGTTCTTTATTGGTTTACCCCTAATAATATGTTAATTGATAGCTCTTATTGCTTTAAGACCCAAGCTTTCCCACGTTGAGACGCCCAGACAATCGAGAGCCGTTCCTCATAAGGCTCGGGTGTGGGGGGATTTGTCCGGTTCCGAACTTGGCAGGGCAGAAGTGGGAAGGGGGGTGTTCTTCTTCGTGCAGGGATGTTCCAACACGAAGCGCTTTTGACGGCGTGTAGACCGCACGGACGGCACGGGGAGACAGTGCACAGGGGCCGGCGGCGGGTAGGGCAGGTGAATGGGCAACCTCGGCGCAAAGCGGGTTGCTGCCCCGCGACGCCCCTCGCTGACAGGTGATGCCATGGGGACCCGCGGGCTCAGCTTGCCGCGGGCACCGTGAAGACGCGCCACACCAGGACAACATCATGTTCGGCTATTTGTAAGCCAAGCAGGAGCTGGGGAGACATCCGCTCACAAGGAAAACATTGATTTGAAGAGGCTCGGAGCGGGGCTCGAGCCTCAACAAGCACGGAAGGGCCTTCTTAACTGACACAAGAAATTAGTTCAAAGCCGATGACAGCACCGCAGATTACCCGCCGCCCCACAAAGGAGGGAACGCTCTGGTCCCTTCACGGAAACACAGATAAAAATTGTGTTCTTCTCCTCTAATGAGGCAAGCTCAGATATAAGTCAATAGAACAATTCATTAACAAATCTAATGAAATCCCCCCGGGTTGCCAGCAATATGGCACTGAGAGTCTCCTTGGGCCGCCGGTCCATATGTTGAGGGTCAGATTGTGGAGTGGTTTCCTCTGGCCTATTCACTGCCCACATATGGCAGTTAAGGTCACTGTTATCAGACACTTTCTCTGTACACAAAACAAAATTTCCATATGGCCCATGGAAATGGCCCGGCCCGGCTCCTGGGCGGCTTCCCACGGCTCCCTTTGTGCGGCGCTGGTTAGAAGTGCAAAAAAGGGTATGAGAGGTTACCTCGTCACTCAATTGCTCTCCCTGCTTTGTGCGTCAGTCCAATTTAGGGAAAATCTGCATCACTTTTTCCCCTGTCTTTCAGGCACAAATGCTCGTGTCAGTCTATTAGGACGTGATGGACGTACTGATTGCGGCCTCCGCATTTAAATCCTTTTGAAACCGCGGTGACCTGTGGAAGCGGGTGCTGGGGGGAAGGACCTTCTCAAGGCTCTTTCAAATCCACGTAAATAAAGGCCTTTCCTGGCTGAAAGTGGCCCCTCAGATTGAGCCCCACGGAGCCCCCCAAAAAAGCCCAACACGATTGTCATGGATATTACATGACAGTAACAAGAGCAGGCCAGCAAAGACAAGGCTCCGGGCCGCACAAAACTGGACGGGGCTTTCTTCACGACTTGGGCCTCGGGTTGTTGACAGCCCAGTAAATAGGCTGTTTAACCCTTTGAAAGTGAATAAAGAGGGTGTAGACAAACGCTTTCTGATGGAGTTTGTGCATGTAATGGGCAAGAGCGTACACACACTCGGGGACTTTGGGGACCTGGGGGGGGGCGGGATGGGAGGGGGGTGGGGTGAGGAAGCAGGAGGCCTCCTTCTTACGCAGCAGACAGAAACCTCGATAG